TCGGTGAAGTTGGACGAAACAGGTTGACAAAAGACGACACTATAGTTTACAAGCCAATAAATGGTAGAATTAGAAGGACTTGATTAAACGAATGCTGCATTGGAACGACCGTGGTTTCCTGCATTTCGTTGTACATCACATTGATGTCGTGTACGCCCGCCTCGACGACCTCAACGAACGCTTCGTTTGACAATCTTGCGGTCTTTCTTCGGCATGCCAGGTAGAGTCGCCCGCTTGAGTCGGAACAGTGATTACGTGCACGCAAATTCGAGATCGAACCCAATGCCTGCAGTTCTTCCTTGAGTGTTCGACGTCAATGATTTTGTCAACGCTACGTTGCAAACGAAAAATGCAGCTTGATGTATGAGTGCGTCACGTGTTCCTAGGCGTTGGCGTGTTGCAAGAAGACTCTACTGTCTGCACTTAGCCACACATTAGTGGTTGGGGTAGGACATTTTCCACGAGAAATGCTCTGTTCAAATCCTACGTCACTGTTAGGCATCATTTCGTGAGTCCCTGTTACACTGTTGTTGCTTTCCGCTGCGCCAGCACGATATATCAACGAAATGCCACGTCCCTATCTTGCCGTCCAACCAAGACTGGGTGCTTCAATGAAGCGCGGCTGTGTGACGGCCCTAAGGAACAAAACTTAGGTTAAGAACCCCTTGCTCTTGCACATGCGCTCAGGCTCTTGCTCGCCAGATACGAGGCAGTGTTTCACGAAGTACCTCCGCACTCTTCACTTGTCAGGTTCCGCCTTCTCGCTGCCATTTTGAGTGACATTTCAAAGTTTGTATGCAAAAGAGTGAATGTATTAACCATGCAAAATATAAAAAACTTTCGGCCTTGACGTGGATATGTTACATTGCGCAGCTCTCAACACTGCGTACATCAAGGTTAAGCTCTTGGTGGGCTTATTTGTCTCGTCCAATCAGCGATGTAGATTTCAAAGCGAGGCGGAATTTATTCGAATATTTTTTGCGATCATGTTTTCCTACCTTAAACTTGCTCCACTTTTGTGGTACGGAGGTAGTACCGAGCACCAGGAAGTCAACGGCAATAAAATATTCATGTTACAAGTATAATACCTACCTTGACTAGAACCTCTAAAATTATTGACACGTTCAGAAGTCCCGATAAACCTCGTCCTTCAACTCAACGTCGAGCCATGGCCTACATCAGGTGCTCGAAAAGTCGGTGGTGCCTGCAGCAGAAAACGCATGGCAATGGTCAGCGCACTATTGATGCCTGAGAGTGCATGCCATTCATTATAACCATCACTCGCTCATTTGAAATATTTGACCACGGACCCTTGTAATGGAATACGTTGCTACTTGAAAAAGATTTCATTTCCGGTGTATTTCTCTATTTCAAAATTATTATACTGTACAGTAGTACTGCACTTGTTCCAGGGCTGTCGTGGTCGTACCTGCGTATGAAATGATCACATTTCTACCAATCCTCGTGGATGTAGCACTTCAATTCAAAAACAGCTTGAATATAAAAGCTGCGAATTCTCGTTGAGGAAATTTTATTGCCTATACAATTTCAAGAACACTTGCCAGTATCACTGGGGACATTTTTCCGTCACTCAATGTTACGTTCCGAGAAAATCCTACTCGTGAGTCCAATTTCTGAGAACTGTCCGTCTCGTTTGTCCTACGAAACATCGATCGAACTTCTTCTCAAAGTGCCATGCATCACTTGACGCTTCAACACGGCGACCACCCCAAAGACCACCACGCCGTCCAGGGCGACCTCCCCAATCACCACCACGCAATCCACGCCGACCCACTGCAATCACCGCCATGCCATTCACGTCGATCACCCAATCACTGCGACAGTTATCTCGAGACCATTGTTCAATAACTTTGTTTTTATTGTGCATTGCACAGTATTTGAATAGAACTTACGATCGCAAACAAAAGTCGTTCTACCTTTGCTGTTCACGCATAGCGAGGGGTGGGAGCACCGTTGGTATGCCATGCCATGGAGGTGTTGTGGAGGGGTACAGGTAACGTCGGAAAAATTCACCCAGTGGTACTACCTTGTTATATTGAAATTCGTATTGGAAATATATTGATTGGTGATGGTTTTTGATCGTGATTAAATTGTTCGCCATATGTGCTATTGTTGTTTGATTGGACAAAATACACCCATTTTCGACAACGATGAGATGTAACTCAGTTTTACACGACGAAATTCAATTACTGTGAAGAGTAATTACTGTGAAACGCAATTAATGTGAAACGAAATACTGCGCAAGTTAAGGGGCGTTGGGGGCACCGGGGATTGCCTTCACAAATGAACGGCGGATTAGTGAAGTTGGTATCTCTTCCCACGCTGCAATCGTGCGCTTGATCATGGCCAGGCGCTTTCTGCCGCTGTCGTGACAGGTGGCTCTTGGAGCCACTTCGAGCGCAACTTGTTCTTCAGAAGCCCCATCACACCCACATCCAATGGTTGACAGACACTTGTGGAGTTCTTGGGCAGGGACTCAAGTACACTGAATAGTTCATTTGACGCCTTGTCGTGCGAGGCTTGGGAGACATGACAATCCAAGTTGTCGGCCACAATACAGTCAACCTGATAAAAACTCGACAGAGTGGTACTCCATGTTATATGGACTTGAAGTTGTAAAAGAGTGCCTGGTACTTGTGTAGCTGTTTTGATTCGCCCAAGCAAGACAAATATATTCAAAATGACCTCTTGTCCAGCCGCTGATCGGCATCCATAAAGTCACATATACCCTGGACGACACGAATTGGTACGCTCAAGCGCCGCCATCGTTCGCCTCACACAATGCGATGCAGGCATGGCAAAGAGACCCTTCGAAGAACCACGTGCGCAAGCGGCGTCCATGTGCCACATACTCACGTTCAGCACCGCCAAGAAGCGCATGTCGGTGGTCGTGCAGCTGTCCGCGACGAGATGCCGCATCTTCACCAAGGGTGCGAGTGAGATCGTGTTGGAGCTATGCACGTCGCAGCTCCACTTGGACGGGTCCCGGCCGCGTTCTCCGCCGCCGAGGGCGACGCCGTCAACGCCAACATCATCGACAAGTACTGTACACGTCGCAGGCGTACCGCACGCTGTGCCTGACGTTCCGAGACGTGGACACATCGCCCGATGCAGTCAAGACGTGGCCCGATGAAGTTGTCGAAAGGGACCTCACGCATATCTGCATCGTTGGGATTGAAGACCCCGTGCGCGAAGAAGTGCCCGAATCGATCCGCCAGTGCAACGAAGCAGGCATTGTCGTGCGCATGGTGACTGGCGACAACATCGCGACGGCGAGGTCCATTGCGTTGAGACCACTTCCAAGCCATTCTTGACGTTTTGCGGGACCCCGTGCTACTTGGCACCAGCGATCATCCACCGAAAAACGTACTGGGGCCAGCCCGTCGACGTGTGGCCATTGTAGAGGCTTCAACTCCACGACGTTCGCAACCATACATGAACATACCAATTTCACACCGCTCGTTTTCAACACTTGCCCCTCTACCAGCAGCTAATCCTGGACCTCCTCGCTGATGCCGTCCACCCTGTCCTCTAACAGCAACTGCTCGATCACATAGAACACATGGGCCTTCCACGCAGCATCATGACGACTGCGCTAACTGAACAGTGATACAACGACTTGTCCACACTGTATAATCTGTTGCTCGCTCGAGCTGAGTCCATGTGTCGCGACGTTGCTTTCCCTGACTCGACGCCAACGGTCCATTTGTCCTCGTCCGCTCCATCCCATATTCTTGCCACGTCGTCACTCACAGATTGCACT